ACTTCCATTACATTCATCTCTGGAATGATAAATTAAGATAGGGTTTATAGGGGAATTAACTTTGACTACGGCTGAATGCCTCCAACTAACATTCCCGTATTGAATGACATCACCCACTTGCAATTCTTCAAGTTTACACTCTCTTGCCAACTGATTTTCAATAAGGTAGTTATAGAGTTTACCCACAACCGTCCATGTTTTTGTAAATATAAATTCATGATTTTTATCACAGGTGATAGGATAAGGAATTCCGCCAGGCAAACATGTATCATTAGGACGCTTACGTCTACACCACCATTTGGCGGATTTAGGAATACCACCATAGTGTAAAACTTGCGAAACAAAATTTGTACAATCATTACCAAGTGTGCGTGGATAGTTTGGATTATAACTATTACTTTCACAATGACTTTTTGCATAATTGACCGCTTTTTGTCTATCATAGATATTGGCGTAACAAGTAAAGTTAAAATACAAAACAATTATTGCGAAAATTAACTTGAACATCGCAAGAATATTTTGAGGTATTATTGTATAGAATTAAATGTTTAAAAGGAATGAATGATGTTTAAATACCTATATTCTTTTTACTTTTTTCGCATCTATGAGAAAAAAAATCTGGTTCTTTGAACAAGGACGTAATCAAATAAAAAATGAATCCTATACTATTATAGTATAAGTTGATAAAGAATCGATAAAAACGCCATAATCACTTAAGTTGCTATAAACATCTTATAAAAATTGGTTAGAACTGACTATCAATATGGTCTAAATCCTGTAGTAGTGAAAGCACAGATACAATGATGAAACGCCAAAAATGGGGTTTAGAAAACTTCTTGAATATAACCCTAAATTCTTCTCCAAGAAGACGTTCATTTCATATTTATTGCACTGTATGCAACTCCTTAGTATTTATCTGTGAAAATACCGAGGAATGTGCAAATAAACATCTGAATGAATGCATTGCTAAAACAGAGCAAAGGCGCATTGCATGAGATTTTTAATAAATATTCTGTTTATCCTAGTCGGGGTATTCATAGTACTAATACTCCAGTTAAAATTTAAGGAAAGAATTTGCAATACAGTATTTAACAGTGCAAAAGTTATCCAACAGACTTGGAGGAATTACAAGTTGAGACCCGAGACATGGGCACAACGAATTTGGAGTATAATGAGAAATGATGGTACTTCTGACGAGAAGTTTTTAGGTATAACTCCTCGCAAAACAAGAGTACCTGCAATAAAGTGACCCTGGCGGTCGATATTTTATTAATGTTTTCTTTCATGTGGATGGGTGTATCGGATAAAATTTTCGGGAAAACCTGTTAACAATGTAAACGGGTTTTATATCGCGTGAATTTTTCTTATTTTTCTAGCGGATCTCCCGCGTGAATTTTTTTTTGCAAAATTCTTAGAATTCCTCGAATGCGCAGAATTCTTTAAATTTTCGGAATTTTTTTTATTATCTATAAGAAATGGCTGGCATACTAACACCATCTTTTCACATATATTACTCAAAGCAACTTAACCAACTTCCTCATTCTATCAAAATAGATATATGGTGACGTCTTATATCCCGAAGTGGAAGGTTTGTTAAAAAAGACAGTTGAAAATTATATTAAGAAAAAAGAGCGTCAGAGGATGAAGCTTTATACTAGCGAGTGTGAAAACTTGTTAAGCCAAGAGAATGAGAAGTTGCGTATATTGAAACAAGAAATGGAGAAAAAGATTGAAGACATTAGTGATTTACGAGACCAATATAATCACGCGAGCAAGCTATGGCCAAGTCTTTAGAGGAAAGTAGCGAAAAATTACTCAATTAAACTCTTCGGTTATCTTTTTCAAAGATATAATTCATGATAAGCCATTACATCAGCTGAAAAGTCTATTGACATGTTAGAGAATAAATGCTGGCATCTGGAGGATATTATTTCTGCTAAGGATAGAAAAATTATCGTTCTTGTTGATCAGATACGAAACATAGCGATGTAACTACAGTGGCGACCAAAAGTAATAACTCAGGGGCTAAATTTACTAATAAAATATAATGAAAATTGAAATTTTCTCTCTATATTAAAATTTATAATTTTAATAAGAAATA